AAAGACCTAAAAAAGCACTAGTTATAACAGTGAGCAGCTAAAGCATCACAGACTTTTATTAGTTTGTGTCCATGTGCACTGCTTCGATTTGTTTTTTAACTGTTCTGATGGGATTGTGATGTTTCTTCTGTGTCATTATAATTTTGGGCACTAATGTTATAATACATAAGGTGTCCTTTCCTGTGACAAAGTGAATGTGATGTGGTGCTTCATGTGTGCTCAACTGTTCACATTTGATGTTCATTTCAGACGTGTCAGTGGAGATAATAATAACCTACTGCATGAGAGTCAGTGTTTTCAGGTATTCAGTTATATAAACAGTGGTGTGGGTTCACTAGACGGGGGCTTTGAATCTGTTTTTGTTGGTCTTAACTGTTATCCAAAGAAAAATCACATCATGATGAAAAATGTGAGCCAGCAGGATGAAGTGGAGCTTGCATATACTGTATAAGGCAATATATGAAATAAAAACACATCTCTGAAATTATTATGTGCCTCAAGAAATGGGATATATGGATTTCTGATTATTCTTTTGCAATAAAAACAGAAAGAGGAATAAAAACACACATTAAACTGTTCTTAGTCCAAGTTGACACCTCTGTAATTGCATGCTGGCTGACCCTGTCCAGTCCTCTTTGTGGATTGCCAGCGTTCCTTAAACATGTGGTGCAAGTGGAGTCCAGTGCTGATGTGCAAATGAGGAGCTGCATCTGTCTAGTGCTAATAGCGACATGTGGGATTTTACTGGCTTCTTTTAAACTGTTGTTGATGGAAAACAAAGGTTGAGGAAAACTGGGACATAACCTGAGTTGACACTCATGCAAGAAAACAGCAGCAAAAGCGTCTTCGTCCGTCATTCTCTGCCTTATTTTCAGCTTTTATTCACTCCACACCAGCACATTCATTCACTTACAGTGTACTGGATGTACTGTGTACAGTATAAACACCCCTTTTCTCACATATACTGATCATCTGGTTCTCTTTATCAGGCTCAGAGGCTGGAATGCGTTGTTGCTACGCCTGGTTCTCATTGTGCCGTTTCACCCTAATTGCATTCGCTTTGCTTTGATTCTTTCTCTTCCTTTTTGGCCTATATTCTTTCATTTCTTCCTTCTTGTCAGCGATATTAAAACGATAAATCTAACCAACACGTGTAACACTGAGGTCAAGAAGCAGGTGCAGGAGCATTTCGGACTGTGATAACTCTCAGAGGTCGGTGTTATCAGTCATTTCAACGTGAATAACTCAACCTGTTGCAGCACCTCACTGTGCACATTTGCTTTTAGGTCATCACCAATATCTTCTACTAGTCTAGTAACAACTACATATCCTTTTTTTCTTTCTCTCTTTTAGCCCACGTGTGTTTTCCATATTACTGTTTTGAAAATTAAGGCATAAATGAGCATCCTTTACAACAGTTTTTTTTTAAATTGTCTTATAAATTCTATTATGTCACACACAAAAACATATTTCGCTTTGTTGACCATCACAACATGTGTATAGTGACTGAGCCGGGGTCTACCTCAGAGAGAAGCCAAGAATCAGATCATGAACCAAACGTCATCCAAATATGAATCTTACTAGAATATCACTTAGTAAACTAACACCTAGTTAATATTTCCTCAACATCGCATGCCTTGAGTTTCACTTCATAGTACTTTTGTGCTCCAAGAAGTCCTTCAATTAGTCCTAAAATCTGCTCTTAGTCAATTAAATTATTGTGTGATTGTTTCATCTTTTCTGAGCACACAGAACATTGCATTTTTGACTTTTTAATCATTTACAGATTGAGGGAATGAGGTCTTTTACTTTAAAACTACTGTATTATTAGAACTAATCTCATTATTACTGAAACAGAATTCCTGTTAGAGTTAAACTGTGTATAACATTGTAAATCCTCTTGTTAATGGATGCCTTTGGAGCAGTTTGTGTGGTCTCGCACTAATACTAGCTGTTTAATGGTAACTGGTGTGATTCTTGGTGGGAAGAAGTAATTGAGATAGTTGGGAGGGATCTAGTTTGAGGCTTTTGTTTCGTGTGGTTACGATGGTCCGATTGTAGTCGGTGGAGGATTTTGGGGCATGCTTGTGGGAGGCATGAGTACTTTTTCCTGGCAGAAATTCTTAAAGGTTAACTTGCCTGTGGGCAACTTTTGCCTCAGATTCACAACATTGAACTGGTGTGAACTTTTCCAGACGCAGGCATCTGTTATCCGGTCTGGGTTATTTATGGTTACTGCCTTTTCCCTTCACTTTAAAGCTTTAACCCCACTGAACAAATGGCTTTGGGCTAAACTGCTTTCACTAACTCTATGCTCCCACTTTTCACTTACACTTTTTTACCTCTTTCTTTAAGCCTCCGTGTGGGACGTAGCCTGCAGTAGTTTAGGTGCCAGTGTCTAATGGGTTGTGACACATGTTTAAATCAAATCTGTCAAATACAATCAGTCTTCACCTGGTGCAAAATGTGGGTAATTTAATATTTTGCAGATCCTTGAGGGGTATTATCTGTTCACTGACCCCAGTTTAGAGGGGTCACAGGTCGGAGTTGGCTTCTAAGCAATGTCCCTGAAGCAGGCAGGGATTTAACCTCCTGACCAAAGACAATGTTGGGCAGCAAAGAGTTACGCAACAATGAGTGTGTTTGGTGCATATGTGGGTGTGTATACAAGTAAGTGATTGTTCTATTGATAATAGACACTAAAATGAATGTGGGATAAAGCAGCACTACACACACACAGGGATAATATATGTGTGTCTGTGTGTGTGTGAGAGAGGGAGAGAGAGATTTTTTCTGCAAGAAAACGCTTTGAAGCTGCAGAAAATTCCAGGAGTTTCCCGTTAACGAGCCTGGGGTATAATGTGAACCAGGAGCGTTTGTGTCTGTGTGCAAAGAGAGGAACGTCCTCCGACTCAGTCTCTCTGCTGGTGAGAAGGGTTAACATCTCTGAAGCCTTCGCTCTCCATTTACCGTCCAGATTCCAGATTTGATCCACCTGTTTTTTTTTTTGTTTTTTTAGGATACAGAAATGCTGCAGCCGTCAGCGGAGTTTTGAATTTGGATTCAAAGTATGGAAACTTCTCAGCTGGACATTTTCTGAGCTTTTTAAGACTTCTTAAATCGCTTTATTTTTAAACAACTGCCAAATTCGTGTAGCGCATTTCAGATGCAACACTGCTGCCCAAGACCCAGCAGTGGTGAAAACAACACTACACATATGTATTTTTGCTCCAGATGAGGATTTACGAGCTGCTGAGCGGTTCTAGCTGATCACCGAACCAGTTATATCAGTAAGGATGCTTCATTTTTACACCTCTTATTATCTGTTATCTGCCGCTTTGTGGAGCCTCAGCTATCCTCGTTTGCTCACCGCTTGGCCGAATGTCGGTGGAAACAAGCCAAAGCATCAGTTGGACCCTAATGTGAGGGACTGGGGAGACTATTCAGATCTTCCTCCTGGGATCGAGCACGGATTGGGACTGGAGGAGGACAGCGAGCATGGAGGCAACAGGGGAGTTGGAGAGACTTCACCAAGCCTGGCTCCGGAGCTGGATTTCCTGGCTGACTTTGCAGGCAAGAGGAAATAACTGACCAACTGACCAACTGACCTGATCTGTCCGTATGTTTACATAACCTACAGTTCTTACAACCCCCTACAACATTCCCCCCTCCAGGTAAAAAGCGGCTGTGGGTGATAACAGCTCCATCACACAATGACAACTATCTTCGGATGATGGAGAAACAGCTTGAAGAGATGGAGCAGGTACTGCGCTGAGGTTTTTTTTCTCTTTGGTACAGAACAACCTCTTCTGTTCTATAAGTTCTTTCCTTTCACATTGTTTTCTCTCCCCGTCTCTCTCAGAAAGGGCTGAACTGCCGTCTAGCAGAAAGAGACACCTTCATCATAACTATCATCCAGAACGCCATGATGGAAGGTAGAATCCAGAAAACTACTTTTGAAGGGGATGCCACAGTCGAGAGCCTGGACCCTGACACAGTTAGCAAGCTGCTGCACTACCTGGAGCTCACCAGCCAAGTAACCAGAGTGGCATAAACATATAAACACGTTGCCGTCTATTTGAGTTTTTTGTGGTTTTGTGTTAACGCCGATCTTTTCAGGAGCAAGCGTTCACCATGCTGGTTATTAAGAAGAACTTACGGGCCAGCGAGCGCTTCCCTTATCCGGTCCGTGTTGAGGCGATTTTGGAGCTCATCGATCAGTTCCCCATGAGGAAGCTGGAGAAGATGACAAGAAAGGGATCAAACTTGAGGTTCCATTATACTGCTGTTTTCTTTGAACTGAAGAGTGGTTTTGCAAAGTCTTACAGTCTAATCTGAAAAGACTGTTACGCATTTCAAAAGAAGAATGAGGAAAATTTCACAGAATAATGAAAATATTGACTAACTTGTGCACATTTTTAAGCCTTTAATTGGTTATTTATGTTATGCATTGGTATGGTTATGTAGGTGGTGATTATACAGGTGTAAAATTACATGACAGGTCACTTTAGGCCATGTTCGCTCTGACGATGGCCACATTGATCAGTAGGTCAATCACTTTGGTTCATACTGTATTAACTGAATAATCAATGGATGCTCTGCCATAAAATTTTATAGATACGTACAAAATGTTGCCCATAACTTCAATCAGCTGCGATAACTTTGATGATCCCTTGACTTTTCTCGTAGCGCCACCACTAGGGTCACAATTTAAATTTGTCCTCTGCTTTGGTTTACGACAAGAAAAGCTATTGACATTCCAGTTGTCTTCAGCTGCACGTTTGGTTTCAAGTTAATGAGGAAATTGGCACATTAAAATGCATCACTAAGATGGTGTCAACACTATACCCACCTATTACGTTCAGTGTTCGTACGTTTGCATGTTCATGTTAGTGTAACCAAGCATCTTGTGTTGCCTAAATAAGCAGCTTTAACAAAAAAATGAAACAGTGAAACACAGTTCAATGTCCAGCAGCAACAGCTTCTTTTGTTTTCCTCAAACTCCTCAGAGGAGGAGGATTGCCAGAAATTCTTATTGCAAGCCTGAAGGGACAGGAATACCTCCCTAAAGTACAAAATAAACAAAGGACAGTCTGTTACATTCAGCATTCAATGCATTGTTGTGCACAGAGCAGCCTAACAGATCTCCTAGACTCTCAGTCTTGTTACACTATTAAGTATCAAGTATAGGAAATATAGTCTAACTAACTTTGCTTCTGCATCAGCTTCCACCATTTTAGTCTGGCACTGTCCAGAAGATGTGAGAAATCAGGAGGCAAAAGACAAACTGAGCATTAAAGATGTTTCCTAGATTATTGCAAGGCCTGAGTAAGAGTTGAAAGTTTTGTTTGCATTTCTTTTTGTTCACTATTCTGCAGGTGTCTCAGTGTCCAGGATTTGGAAAATGTGAGTTGTGAATGTCAGGTGTTCGTTAGTTTTTAGGTGCTATTGATACAGTGATGGACAAAATCTGCATCTTATCTGATTGAGGGTGTTAATGTGTATCATCCAAGTGATTGTTTACAATGTGACATCAAGGCTTTTCTATGTCACGTTTTAGGTGTAAAACTGTAAAAAAGAAGCTCGTGAAGAGAAAGAAGATGAAGAAGATGGTGCTGAGCCCTCAAAGACAAGGAAATGTTACTTCTGTGGTGCCAAGGAAGCCTCCTCTGGACAAGAAAGCTGCCCTGAAGAGTAAGATCCAAGACATACTGAGCGGCCGGTCGAGGTTCGTCATCCGTAAGCAGCCTACGAAGGGAAAGGACTCCAGCAGTGGCGCTGGGGGGACTTCTAACGTACAAGAAAAAGAAAAAGTGGCCAGTTCTCCAAGGCGCAATGAGGACACGAAGAAAGACAGGTGCTGCTAAGTGAGATTTTCTAACATAGTAAAGGGAAGAGCGTGCATGTGAATGTTTTGACTTGTGTTCACATCTGGTGCGCCAGGCCTCCTCATCGCCTCACAGCAGACAAGTGCTTTCTGTTAGGGCTGGATGAACATCAAAGTCATTTTTTTTATATTGTATTGCAGGTCTGACTCCATCGTGCAAGAAGGAAAGAAAAAACATGGAGGGCAGAAAAATGAAGATAAAATACAGTCGAACGTAAAGGATGACACGCAGGAGAAACAGAGCTCTAAGAAAAAGGGCAAAGGGAAGAAGGGGAAGAAAGGGAAAGGAAGAGGGAAAAAGTCCAACAGAGAGGCGAGTGACAAGGATAAAACAGCGCTGAAGGAGTTTGTGGACAGTTTTAAGGGGACAAGAAGGCTGATGGTGAGAAGGTTTCCAGTCATTTTAGGTGTATGAAAACACTGGACAGATGTATGTTCCCTACCAACCAACGCAACATGTTTTTGTGTTGTCCTCACACAAGCTGATCTCAACGCCGAGCAGAGACGCAACACTCTACGTTCAGCAGACTGAGGAGAACGAGAAGCAACACTGTGAACTCTCTATCAGGAAGGTGACTGTGGCCACCATTGTGGGTGAAGGCAGCGACGCCACGCTCTCGCTGCACCACCACCAGCTCGGTAGGGAGTGTTTGTGTCTGTGTGGTGTTGTGTGTTTGAATATTTGCATGTAAAACATTTCCCTACAGGGGTGTTCCTAGCTATCAGAAAATCTCATGCAGATATTAGCCATGTTTTGTTTTTTAAAGATATAGCTGCCGTTGTAATGATGACCAAAAGGGAAATGCAGTGTTTCCACAGACGGGAATACAAACAGTCTACAGACTTGTTCTGTCAGGTTTCCACAACAACCTCTTAACGAACATTGTGGAAATGGTAAATAAGGCAGACCTGGGTGATTTTTTTCTGGGAATTACCCATTTCCATGACAGTGCTCGACTCCTTACATTCAAATCTTCCACCATAACATGTCCCCCCCATTGCTATTTTTAGAGGAGCACCATTGCTCATATACCATATTGAATTTCCCTCTGGGATAAATAAAGTATTTTCATTTCATTGCTGCATCCTGAGCTTAGTACTGTCCAAGTTGATTGTGATTAGTTTAAAGAAATACAAAATAGCCCAAGTGTTTTTTTCCCTTCGCTGCAGCTGAATGATGATGAGGTTGGGCCAGACCATTCTAATTCTGGCACAGTGCTGTGGAAATAGGTATATGAATGTCTGAACCATAGAGCGTATACAAAAGACGGAGGTAGTCACTGTAACTTCACCAACAGGTTTTAGCGACTACAGTTGTGAAACCTCAAGTTTTGCAATTTGGCTGTTGCCGTCTTGTTTTTTTTTAACTGATTGTGAACAAATTTCAGTGAGAGATAGAGCTGCTTTCTGATCAGTAAGAAATTAGCAGCTAACACATGCTAGCTTGGTTAGCAAGGGGTATCCGTGACTTAACTGAAACAGACACAGTGAAAACATTCTGACAACAACCGAACAAGTTCATGACTTTTTAAATGTTCACAGTGTCATGGATATGCATTACCACACCTCTATTCTGACTGGCAGGTCACCACTTGTCAGTCACAGCCTAAAACACAGGCTGCTTTATCATCTGTTTTAATCTAATGGGATTATGATTTACAAAACAAACACCATGCTGTGTTGACAGAGACTTGAAACTAGTGACTGAGGCCACAAACTCATTGGGAAAAATGTTTTCTGGGGTAAAATTTAAGTGAGAAGTACGGTAATTTTGTTTTAGACCTGTACACAATCGAACTTATTTTTGCAACCAGAGGAGCCACCTGCTGGCCATCAGAAACTATGCAGGTTTAAGGCACTTCACATTGTCTTTACCTTGTCACTGCACATAGACACATGCATTCTTTGACAGAAATCAAAGACTGAGTTAAACATACCATTTTCAGGCACACTTCTAAGTTACATTTCCGGTGCTCAGGAAGAATCTTTATCTCCCAAACCAACAACTTAAATCTAACTCCGTTAGCAGGTGTACTTCTTATGGATATATACCTGAAACTCCTGCAAAATATAATAAAATCCAATACAATAAATAATGTTTTTGAAGACTGTAACTTTCAAAAGTGTTCAGAAGGTGGACGATTTGGATCATGTATTATGTTGTTGTTGTTGCTGTATTCATTACACTGTAAGGTGGTATTTTGTTTGTTGCTTTTACATCTGCATACACACATTAACTCATATGTTTTTAATTCATGTTTTGTGTCTTTCAGAGTCAGAGCCTCCACTCAGTGACCAATCAGAGCAGTTCTCAGACCCAGGCCTGATTTCTCTGTTGAGGGCAGAGCTCGGCCTGTCGTCCTCCGACCTCTTTTCAATGACCGTCACTGATTATGACATCAAGCCCAACGTAAGAAATCCTCAGCTGAGCTTTCTGAGTTTTGTAGTTGTTGTCTTTTATTTTATTTGATAAGCGTGCATGCTTCCTTTTAGCACCACTCTTGCACGTGTTCACACCTGGAAGCAGTTTAGTTGACAGCTGCTCACACTAACAACAACCACATTTGAGATTTTTCAAGCTAGGAATGCAGGAATCAAACAGACAACATTCAAGCATGCATCTCAAAACTGTTTCATTTTGACTGTTTAAGAGAACAAGATGTCTCTCTTCTCTTGCCTGATCTTCTCTTATCTTTTCGCAGAGAGTCTTTGAGGCTCCTCCATCGAGCCTGGCTCTGTTTGAGTACATTGACAACTTTCCTTCAAGGCACTCAGAGAAAGAGAAAGAAAGGAAAAGTCCTTCGGTCTGTTCCAAAGACACGCAACAGCTTGCAGCTGAGAATTCCCTGCTCAGGTCGAGTCACTCTACCAGAATATCTAATTACTAGATTTGACATAGAAAAGAAGCATCTGCAGCCTCTTCAGAAACGTAATTAAAAAGCTGAGTTAACGTCCACTGATGTTACATAATATTTAGTTTTTCTTTAGGAGGAAATCAGAATTATCATTATTACCTATTAGGAGCAGGTTACATTTTGTTCATCTCCCAAAATGTGTCTAAATAAGAATTTCAAATGTAAAAACTAAAGAGAAGTCAGTGGCTGAATGTTATCGCTCTTCCCTCTTGTGAATGGAAACATGCAACTACATCTTTTAAACTTAACTTGGCTTGTTTTATTGACATCTAGGTTCATGTCTAAGAGGAGACTGCTGCTCATCTCTGCTCCCTCCAAGGACGACTACTCTTTCCAGCAGCAGATCTCCGCCCTCAGCGGACAGGAGTGTCACCTGGGTGAGAAACACAACACACTGTCTGCTTTGTCATTTTTGGTACAATATGAAAATGTTGTAGGAGAGTTGGGTTTCCCCTGTAACCGTTAGCACTGGAAAGGCACGCACCAAGCCAAGTGGGAAAAATTACACAATGAATAACAAAAAAACAGATCATAAACAAATGCACAACAAGAGAAGCAGAATATTTTAAATGTTAAACCACAGTTAGGAGACAAACCTGGCCGTGGAAGCCTGAACTTTCTAAATGCATAAAGATTACAGAATAAAATAAATGGATTTTATCATGTTTCACAGCAATGGTTTGTTTATTTGTTTGTTTCCATGAACTAGTTGACGTCCTGTTTAAGCTCTCACTGCTAAAATACATCTTCTTGCGTCTGTCTTCAGGTATTCGCCACTTTGCCCTGTTAAAGCTGACTGGAAGTGGTGAAAAAGCTTCAGGAACTGTTGAGCTGTTCCCCTTAAATGGTAGGTCACAATTAAGTGGAGCAGTTCGAGTAAATGAAGTGGTAATAGAACAAGTAACTTGTGTTTATCAGTTTTAAGGTAGAGCTGTCATTATGTTTAATCTCAATTGAAAAAAAGCATCATAAAAATGTTAGAAAGCTTTGTGTTTTTTTAGAATTTCTCGCTGTAGTTTTATCCCTTTTTACTGTGTTGTGTAAGGTGTGCCATTCAGTTTTCACTCCTTCCTCCAGGTCGCAGTCAGAGCGAGGTCGAGCCATTATCCCGCGACATGGTCAACAATCTGAGAGAGCAACTCAAGATCAGCAAGGATTATTTCAGCATGCTGGTTGTGGGGAAGGACAGCGACGTCAAGGCGTGGTTCCCATCGCCCATGTGGTCCCTGGACAACATCTACGACCTGGTGGACTCCATGGAGCTTCGCCTCCAGGAGGAGAAGCTGCAGAAGAGGCTGGGGATCCACTGCCCGGAGGACAGAGGGAGAGGAGGCAGCGACACGGGACACTATGGTGGATACGATGACGACAGGGCAGAGGAGACATACTTGTACCACAGATCAGAGGAATAATGAGAAGTGAAGAAAAGCTGCCTACATTTTTGACATAAAGTGAATCAACACATGGATTTGATATGAACAAAACAATAACAAATAACCTCAAAAACTCATCTTCAGAACTCACAAGAATCAATGTTTAAAGTCTACATATGATGCATCTGTCGGATACCACAATAAAAAGCTGGATCTTTTATAGTTTTATATTGAAAAGCTGAGCAGAAAATAATGGAATGGTTGCATTTAAGAAAGTGTCTTAATAAAAGCATATGTGCACCCTTCAGCTCTTCTTTTCGAAAAGCTGGTGGTCTGGTATGATTTGATGATTGCGACAGGGGAACTGGAGGAAAGTTCAGCGAAGGCCGAGTATATTTTGCATTTTGGCAGCACTTCTGTCCGGTCTTTGTCAAACACATTCGCTGTGTAAAGTAACAGCAGCATGTGTTGTTGAAGTGCGGCAGCCTGCAGACACCACAGGGTCACTGAGACAAAGAGCTATTATTGCCGAACTCTGTGTAGGAGAAGCGTCTGCAGCAGTTCTTTGAAAAGCAAAACTGCACTTGTCTACTGAGGCTGTTAGCGGCGGGAAATAAAACAGTGTACCCAAGAACAGCACCAGCGCTTCCACAAATGTTTTAACTGTCCTTGTCCTGGAAACAACTGCTACCAATAGATGTGATGGGCCATCATCAGACGCCATTTCATAAATTATTGGATGCACATTTCTCAAACAGTTTGGCGCTCTTCAAAGCCAAACTGTATAAGCAACCCAGCATCCGATGAAGAGAATAGTAAGTATTCAGGATATGAAACTCTGACATGAGACTGCAAACTTAACATGTGCAGTAGTGAGATTAGACAGTAAAAAAAAAGAGTGACGAAACCTTTACGAAGAGGTTTATACAGGAAAAAAAACACACAGAGGCAGAAAAAATAAACTAGATCGGGTTAAGATACGGGACTATGTTTAAACTCCATTTACATATTTCCTTGTAAAAGCTAAATTTGTTTAGAAAGTGGAGTGTACTTTTACGTAGGGTTTTAAAAATAGTCAAGTTTAGGATTTTACATGTGAATAAATCAGTTTTTAATCTTCTAAATTGGATTTTAAAGTGTTCAGGACGTGCTTGACCTAACGATAACCCTGACAGGTGTTGAGGCCACTACTAAATATTGCCAGCTATAGTGATGCCTTAATGACAGTAATTGCTTTGTGTGGAATGTGAAGATCAGCAAATGGAAGCATGGCCTGCAGCTATGAGTCCTCACATCAGGGAGTGGAAGAACTGAGGGAGAGGATAACAGGGATGTAGCCATGAAATATAGCAAAGCAAAATACAAGAGACGGAAAAAACACTCCTCTGCTTCAGTCTGAACTTTCAAAGAGTTACAGACAAAACAACCTAAAAGGTGACGTAAAGGTGGAGTAAAAATAGATTTAAAAAAAGAAGAAATGGGCAGTTGGACTAAAACAGAAAGTCACACATAACTGTCTGTGTGGCGATTTTGCATGTCGGCATGATGTACCTCCCACATTTCAACTAAATGGCAGCCGGGCAGACTGTTTGTGGTGATGGTCAGCGGAAAAAGAACGTAACAAGTGCCATCCGCCCGGTGCGACCTGTTAGAGTCTGCACGTCACAACCAGTCTCCAGCAATTTGAGGTTTATGTGGGTGAATGAGCGTCACATGTTTGCGAACTACACACACAAAAAGAAAACCTTGAACATTCACAGGAAAAACGCATGCCTAACAAATATCAAAGCATGGACATCCCAAGATGTCCTCCAGCTACATTCAGATAAAAATGAGATGTGAATAAACCCTCTGAACCACAAGCAGTTTCTTGGTGTTGTTTTGCTCCAGTCACATGTTTATTCACCGTGGGCTCATTGTTCACTGCAATACAAAGTCCTGCAGCTCTACGGAAGCACAAACAGTACAACTATTGCTTAAAACATGTCTTTTGTGCCGTATGACACAGATATACTGCCATAAAGCATAAAAAACAAAAAACAAATGAAAGTTAAATTTCTTTGATTATGTATTTTACAAAACTTTGACTCAACATGTACAACATTTTTCCACGTCTCCACAGACATGACCAATAATGGGCTACAAATGGTGGCTCTGCATGCTATAGATATTTTACTATTTACATTTTTAATTTGTTGCAATACTTTCCTCCTCTCTGATCTGTGTAAACAAAGCCTGTAGTTCAACCCATCCATCCATCCCATTATCTATACACCTCTTAATCCTCACTAGGGTCGTGGGAGGCTGGAGTCTATCTCAGCTGACTCAGGGTGAAGGCAGGTTCACCTGGACAGGTAACCAGTCTATCACAGGGCTACACTTAGAGACAGACAACCAAGCACACTCACATTCACACCTACAGACAATTTAGAATCACCAATTAACCTCAACATGTTTCTGGATTGTGGAAGGAAGCCGGAGAACCCGGAGAGAACCCACGCTGCACGGGGAGAACATGGAGACTCCACACAGAAAGATCCTGGGTGTCACTACTGGGATGCAAACGGGTGACCTTCGAGCTGCGAGGCATAGGTGCTAACCACCGGACCACCTTGCACTCCCCAGTTCAACCCAGTTCTTCCAAAAAGTCACATCATTTGACTGTTAGTCACTCATGACTTTTTAGTTGTGTTGAACAAAGATTTTTTAGTTGTTTTTTTTACAGAATCTATTTAGAGCAAACTGCATTTGCAAACCATTATCCTACCCAGCCCCTCATTATGTGCAACATCCTCCTCACAAGCTAATATTACATCAACAAAATCATTTCACAACTCTTACCATGAAGAAGAAGAGTCTACTGAGGATACATGTTCTGTGGTGCATACGACTGGTAGCGATGACATCCACTAGGGGGCTGCTTAGCTCTTGTGGTTGAATGAGCTATGACAAGTGGAGCCAAAGAGCCTGTCTTAACACCTGTCTCACTAATGTAGGACAGATGGTACGACTGTGACACATCTGTTTGACGAACCATGAGCTACAGCTGTTTAACCAATCACTGGTGACCTACTACACATTGGCATTTCAGGGAGATCCCTTTATTGTTTTGTTTTTTCCAGTTAGAAATGGAAGATATGACATGTTTAATGCTCTCAATTTAACTTTAATGTATCAATATTCCTATTTAAAATAATGTGAATGACAAGAGATGAATGCCTGCGTTGTGTTTGGGTTCTTCTCATGTATTTTTTAAACTCTGTTTGGCATCAAGAAAGTTTTTGTCCTGATCTTTAATTTACAGTGAGTGCTGCCACGCTTCGATAGCATCTCATACCTCATGCATGACTCATACTTTAACAATAGCCTAATTTTACACATAATACACGATGTACAGATAAATACAAATGCATTGCCAAAATAGCATACTGTCAAAATTTTAGAGAAATTCCAGGAACGTTCTTTTTTTAAGGGAGCTCATGTCAAGCTCTCTGTGGCTCTCCTGTAATTTGCAAACTTCTGGTGACATGCAATTTGTTCAGCACATGGCTTTATGGTCGAATACTTGCACAACCAATGACATGTGAATCAGCCTCAGCAAAAAGCTTCACTAAAGTGAGATGGTGAACGTGCTAAACATTACACCTCTAGCGCATGTGTGGCTGCTTTGTCACTGTGGGTCAATGCACAGCCTCAAAAACTCACTCGCATGACTGTAAAGTGTTGCTGTGCAGCACATATGACATGCTGCATTGTCTGCTCATGTTGTTCATCACTGGCTTTTTGTCCACTTTAACACATCTGTAGTGGTTTTAATGTGGTTGCCAAGAAACAATTCTCACTGTGTGTTTTGTTTTTTTTTTTTCTTTCAACCTGCCACCGACTGAGTGAACATCGGTTGTTAAGCACAGAGGGAAACTGCAGAGAGTTTGCCAGGGATAGGCAAATCCACGAGATGGAAACACACAGATAACAGAGGCTGTGACAGTCGCGCTCACAGATAACACGCATACTACTAAGAGAGGAAGTAGTCAGTTGTAGACGAATGCTTATGTCACCGGCAGAAGTGGAGTATACATCCCCCAACAGACAAACACACGCAGACTCACACGCTCAATGGTTTACCACGCTCTTTGGCATTCTCTGTCTCTCAGCACCTCGGCACCTTTCTCTGGTCGGCGGCCACAGAAACTCACACAGAGACACTGAACAAACACCGTCCGCTGCTTAATCCACCGAGCAGTCAGACCGAGCAGCGGTGCCTACAGGGCTTGTTGTCCTCGAGATGGTGAGTACAACCTAATGAGCAACTATTTAAAAGAATCACTTTGGCTGTTAGAGTTACTCTGGAGTAGATTGATTGGAGGAAAAGCTGCGACTGAAAATGTTGTTTTGAGCATTTTACATAAGCTGTGAGTTGTTGTTTGTACCAACACTCTCACTTGCACCAATTCATTTTCACTTGTAGAAGTAAAGATGAAAAGCTGTCATATATAAATTGCAGCCTTACATTCAACATAAGCAGATGTACGTTTTCAGCAACGTGTGGTCAATTGAGCGCTCGTTAAAATGGTATTTCAATTTTGTGTTTGATAATCAAGGCGGCGTTTGTCACATTTCTTCACACATATGGTGTCAAAACAGAATTAACGACTCGGGTTGGGGGTTCTTGGGTTTGTGTCAGCGAGATTGAGCAAGATAACTTTGGCCTGCACTTTTCATCACACTGAAAATAGAAACCAAGGTTCCTCTTTATCTCGTCTTTTCTCTCTCATTATTTTTTAGCAGGTCATTGGACTTCAGAAGTACTTGCGCTGAAGAACTGTATAGATATTGCACTTTCAATTGGGTTTTCAGTGAGAGTGAAACTGGCTAAACTGCCCAATGCCTGAATTATTCAGAATCAACAGAGCAGAGCTGTGAGTTTCCAGATAGTAAGAGTGACCCAGCACTAACACAACGGATTGCACATCACTTAAAACCCATCTAAATTATACCCCTAACTATATGCAACACTCCTGCAGTAGCTACGCCTTTATGACAGTTACAGCGTTCCTACATTTTCTTGAAGTTGCCCATGCTGACTAGCTGTACAGCTCCAGGTTCTGCTGAGCAGCACTGCACTATGCTGTTATTCTGAGAATTGTTTCCAGGACGTAACAGAATTTGCAGGTTTTTACAAAATTGCGACTGCGGTGCACATATATTTAGAGAAGCAAGAAGTGCAACTGGGGAGGACAGAAAACATTGGGTAATTTATAGTTACTGCGGGTTGAGAAACAGAAGTATTACATGGGAACTTTCCTCTGTTTCTTTTCTTCCGATTTCATATTCGGCCACTTCATGTTAGCACACTTGGGGCATGCCTCCAACGTCAGACGTTAGTGGCACCACTGAAGTGATACTGCACCCAGAAACTATCTTTTAATCAGCAAATACATCGTCTCAGTTTAGTTAAAGGGGGGTTGGTAAAACGTACAAGTTGATATTAATCACACACGCCGAACATGCTTCAATAGATTTTGTTGAATGATGAATGAAACATTAAGCCTCTGGGGTTACACAAAAGAACCAAAGCAGTGTCTTTAAGTCATAGTTTGGATGATGATTGAAAGGATGAAAGGAAAAAAAAGGAAAAAAAAAAACACTACTCATGCTACTCTCAGTATACCAGTCTTGTGTAACACTGCCTATGCTTCTACCTTATACAGACACTACACAACCTAATTAGTATTCTCCTTTTCATTCTTTATTTTAACATTTCCTCAGATTCACTTTAGAATTTCATGCAGCCAGTGTAGCTCATTGTGTGATTTAATACTATATTGCCCACTAAAGCATGATTGTTTTCATAGTTATGTTGAGGAGACTCACACCATTTTTATGAAAAGAATATTTTAAATAATGTAAAAGTGACGGGATTTATGTACATTTACAATATTTGACCACAACCTCAGTCTTTCCCTACTACTTTTTTGGCCTTTATTATGTAGGACAGTCGAGAGAGAGACAGGAAAGAAGACTGGGGGAAGGAATTGCAGCAAAGGGCCATGAGTGGGATTCGAACCCATCACCGCTGCGTTGGGGACTGTAGCCCCTGTGCAACCAGTTGAGCTATAGCGGCGGCCCCCCCTACAATTCTGATGTGGTATACATTGTGCAGTTATTGACTGGAAGACAAATCCAGAGAGAAAATAATCTATTACATGCTGTCTAATCCATACAAACTGAAGCGTGAACAATTAGTATTGACATGTGTTTAAAGGGTTGGCAGAAGACGATGGTCTCAAATCACAATATTCAACTTATTCCTATAAATGAGCATCACCTGGCGTTTCCATTGGTTACAACGACAGAGATAATCCAAATTACAAAACATACATTAACTTCTCCTCTTTCCCAGTAACTGTAGGACTTGTTACCATTCTAAAGATACAACCCAGTATTCTTGTTGAATGTGACGATATGCATCATACGCTGTGACATTCGTTTCAGCGTCTCATTTAGCTCTACACAGTACACTTTGTACTTTTCCGTGTGTCGTTGTCCCTCACTTTCAGTGCTCTGCTATAGGAATAGTGTGCCCTCATGTTCTTATCTCCACTTCCTGGTACTCTCTGACCCCAGTCAAACCTGCCTCATTAAAATAGGTGTGGCTGCTGTTTGGTCAACCCATCAGTATGACACTAATACAGCTGCATATCTGCTGCTAAACCAAACCTTATAACCTCATTTTAACTACAGTTTTCAAGAAACCTGTGGTTAGTAATGCAGATGGGCCCTGCTGCATGCCTCCACATATAACAGTCTGTAGAGTGGTTGGCTTGTTTATTCATATCATAGCCATATTAATACCATATAACTCTCTTTTTTTTGCAGCGTAACCATTGGACAAACAAACGAAATGCACGGCACTATAAAGCACTTTCCTGCTAGGGTTCATTCAGCCTCAGAACAGGAATATTGTAAATCCATTTCCCTTCTTCTCCCCAGTAAACACTTGACAAAAGCACCTTTTGTTTACCTGCTCTGAAATCTTTACACAAGGTATATGATTAACTAATGTGTTTATGACAAAGACAAGTTGGGAAGTTGGACTGTGGTGTAGGAAGTGATAAAAAAAGAAAATATACAGCTTTTATATAGCTGCTGCCTGCAATGAAAACCCTAACTGGTCAGTAGTAAATATTAAACTCTATTTTACAGTAGAATCAGTCATTCTGTGTTCATCTGTCTGCTTCTAAGCAAATCTTTCTTTCATATTTGCTATCATTTTATCAATTTTAACTACAAAAAAATGCTTTTGTATTAAAGCCCAGCAGTGTAGAAGTGACTTGGCAACAAATAAGGAACAAACATAACCACATATTTATTCATTTTCCGCATCAACAACTAAATGCATGCGGGTTTCAAAAGGCAACACAACACGTACAAGCTGCGCTACTGTAACTGTGTGGCTTTGTCCAGTGACATTACCATTGTACAGCTCAACAGGTTTGCAAATGTGTTCCCTCAGGTGATGATCTGTATTGGTAAAAGAGTGGCGCTTCTTGCAGCCCATTTAAATCCCAAACTGTGAATGGAGCAGGTTAACTGTGTAGCATCAGTTACCATGGTGACCCAGCAGGTTAAAAGAGAGCAATTTGAATGACACGTGGCTTTAGGCTTAAAATACCTCGCTAACCCATTAACCTTGTTGTGTAGTAAAGCCCCCAGTTCTCATCCTTATATGCTAAATTATGCTTTTCTCTAAAAAACAGTCTTGCTTTACAGTCAGAGATCATTATTTTACAGTTAAATCCAAAAAGAGCAACAGGATAAAATCAATAAATGAAATACTGGATTCATTCTAAAGTTAACAGCATAGTGATGGCCTGCACATGTGCTGGCCTGGTCACCACAAGTAATTCTGGGCTCAGTGTGGTTTTCTTCACGCTATTTCATGACATAAAAAGGGAACCACAGAGCCCGTGATTAATGCATGACCTGCACCTGAGCCACAGGTCTCGGTGTCTGTGAGTGGTGAGTCGCTGACCTCGGGGAAACAAGAGCAGCAAACTGACTGGTTAAATGAGTAACCACAGAGAAAGCACGAACTCCACTCATTCAGCAGCCAGTTTGTAAATAAGAGAACAATATGTCCTGAAAGAAAATAAGGTAATTTTGGAAGTTTTGCAACTTTCTGTTCCTATTTGAACTTTTATGTAAGTTTGCGTGTGTGCATCTTGTTTTCCCCTTTTCATGTCGTCGGTTAGTTTCGGTTTCTGTTTTTATTATCTGCTGAAGTCGGTTTATCATCCACCACGCACAGCCTAATTTTATTTCCACCGAGTTTCCTCTTCAGTGTCTCGCCTGAATCAGTAGAAATCAGCTCCTTGCTGAAATTTTGCATTCTCATTATTAACTTTCTTTTTTTTTCCAGGAAAACAAAAGTGATGTTAGGGCCATCATGGCTCGCTTCCAAGCGAGTGGAGCGAGCACTGACGAGACTTCCTCCACACCCGCTGGACGTGGCAAACAGCCCCTGCACCCCACCCTCTCCTCTGGCCCGACCCCACATAGGAAACCTGTCCTGGAGAGCCTCTCGGGCAGTGCCATAAATGTTCCTCCAAAACCAACTTTCCTGAAAAACACAGTATCCACGAAAAGTGACACAGACGCACATGAGCCGAGCAAAGCCAAGGCCCTGGCCAGCAGGTTTTCTAGCGCCCAGGATGACACCAACAACAAACCTTTCACTGTTAATAAGCAGCACACACCCGTGAAGCCACCTTTTTCACAGGCTCCTGAAACCAAAGGCCTCGGACCTAAGCCTCCTCTCAACAAACCCTCCCTCAGCTCCACCCTGTCTGAATCCAAACCTGCCTTTCCTAAACCCGCTCCAGTACTCAGCTCCAAGCCTAGCTGGGTGAAAGAGGACAGTAATGGGGGTGCAGCATTAAACACCAGTTCCACGCCACCCAAAATACCTAATCTGCAACAAAAACCGACCAGCAGCATCGGAAAATTACGGCAGCACGTCGACGAAGCGGAAGGAGCAAACACAGACGCTGCGAACAAACCTTCACCTTTTGCTAACTCTACTTTTAAAGGCCCCTCCAACTTTCGAACTGCTCAGAACATGTTCAACAAGGAGAAGGACAAGACTGAGCAGGCAGACGGCGGCGTGGTCAACAAACCGCCCCTTACTGCTACTAAATCCATTCCACCTCCCAAACCTCCAGTCAATAAAAAGCCCAGCCTGAGGAAGCCACCAAAGGCCTCTCCTGTGAGCAGCAGCGTCAACGGTGATGCTACTTCAGAACCAAAGCGTAACCCCCTCCCCAACACTTTTGCTTTGGGTCCTCCTCCTGCTAAACCTAACCGACCCCCCAAAGTCAACCTGGAGAACTTTAAACGAGGTGCTGAGGCCTCCAATGATGGTAAGTCAGACTTGGTTAACGGCTGTAGAACAACTGATGCCATCGTAACTCTTTAGCTTAAACCTTCAGTTAAACATTTAACCAACAGTCTAAGTAATACATTCAGCCATTTCTGCTTTTAACATATTCATATTTATCTATGTGTCGACACAGACACCACCAAAATAACTACAGCTTAGCATTCATGCAGAGATCTGTCATCATACGTTCGTGGCCCCAGCAGAAAGCTCTTATTTATATTTTTTTCTAACCCTAACCCTAACTCTCAAACAGCCATCGTATGTTAAAGGTGGCCATGTCTTATTTTAGTGCCTTATTTCACCCTCTCTTATCAAAGTCACCAACAAAAGTCTTTTGGGGGTTCTTATATAAGTGTTGCTCGAGAAGCAAAAACACTAATTCAGTTCATCAAGCGCAGAAGAAGACCCCTCATGAAGTGCATCACATTTCTAGTTAGAGACACTAAACCCTGAGGTAAGGCCTGTCGTCCAAAATAACTTCCTATGCAACTAAAAGGAAGTTGCGTTTTAAGACAACATATGTTCTCCTAGATTACACTTGTTTGTGATTTGTCACAATTATGTTTCCAATTAACCGGTGTTTGTTATTCATTGTTGTGCTTTCCAGCAGTCACGCCATATATTTGATGGGGAAGGACTTAGAAACCCCAGAAACCCCGAAATATATCAGTTTTAAACACGTTCTGCAAGGGTTGCATGTTAATTCAAAACATCATAGTTTTCTAAACCTAACCAAGCTTCTAACACAACAAAAGAGCCAGTTAAGCCAGAGCATGACATTTAGTTTTGGTGCCTAAATTTAACTAAACAGCGGGTAAAAACAAAGCTAAGAAATAAAAGTCTAAAAGTAATGGTCACACACAGGACAGCAAGCCACAACTAAAGAAAGAAAGAAAAAAAGTGCAACTTAATGCCTATTAATGCCTATTAATGCAGGTGAATCCCATCCTTTAAAACTGCTGGTCCTCCTGGCACTTAAAACCAGTCCTAGAGTGATCTCCAACACTGCCTTAAAAAAGGTAAACGTGCAGTCTGGCATATAGCCGGTGTCATAAAAAGGGGAGTTGTGGCTGACGTGCCTGTTTGCTTTGGTCTAAGCTGCTCTATTACATCCAGTGATTCTGAATGTTACACACAGAATCTTTAGGGATAGAAAAAAAAAGTTGTAAAAAATGTTTTTTTTAAAGTTATAGAGACAGAAAAATGAAAAGCGGTACCCGACTGCACAGACATGGCTACAGTCCAGGTTGCCGAGTAAAGAAGAGAACGAGATCTCAAAAAACAAAGCTCAGTGAACTTACAAAGTACTTAATAGCTTTTTTCAGATGAAATGGAAATTGTATAATGAATTAGGATAAAAAAAAAAGAAGCTTGCTTTCAGTGTAAATCTCCTTTCTACCTAACTTACAACCAAGATGTGTTGAGTAAATGACTTTAACGAATACAAACAGCTGGTAAATGGAGGAAGTTTTTAGAAGGGAAACTTCTGGCAGCCAGCAGAGACACACATGTGGCCCCACAGGCAGAAATACTTCAAGTATTTGGCAGCATCATTTGTTTTCCATTTGGTATGACATGTCCGTGATCCAATAGTCCCAATCAGCATACAACAAATACAGCAAATCAAACACAGCAAAACGTTGTCAGCATCAGTTCTTTTCAAATACACAGCGTTTTATGTAATGAACACTTTCTCTGAGCTGAGCCAGCTGAGAGGTTGCAACAATGTGGGGCTGCTGTACAATCTGTAAGTCTCATGACAGCCTAAGAAAGGCGGCGTTCCTCTTATTTTGATGTCCAAAGTGCATTTCCTCTACACCGCTAGCAGTGCTACTTTTAACAGACTTTGCTAGCACATTTCAAAAGTGTGAAAAAGGACTTGCTACACAGGCCGGTGTGGTTTTAGTGACGTCAGCAGTGTTGAGCCCACAGCTGATGAGTGTACTTTGGGTTATCAGACAACATGGCAACACCAAAAAAAAAACTTCTGTCTGCTCCTGATTATTGTTTTAAGTGACTGGAATTTGTTATATTCAGTACAAAAAGTGGTGCAAGTTACACAAATGCTGCAGTTGTTCAAAGCCTCAGATAAAAGACCAAAGTCACAGAAACACCCTCGGTTCCTCTATTTGCTCCGGCCAAGTTCCCCGTCCAGTTTCTCCTTTCTCCTCCCCCCATCGCTCTCTGCTCGACAGCCGAGTTTGTTTCACCACATGGGGAAGTAAGTTTCAGCAAACAGGGATTGTTTCAGACGTGAGACTCTGTTTCTAGATACAGACCTGGTCTCAGTTTGTTTCCCGTCAGAGGTGAAGGATGACTGCCGGCTGAAACTCAACATAAAACGCAGGGCAAATACTGGAAAACAAACATCTAAAAGGGCGAATACTTGTGATATTCTGATATAAATATATGAATATTTAGTGACTGTTTTTCATAATTGTCAAGTAATTTAATTACAGCGTGTAATTTTTGTCTGTGACTCCACTAGCAAAGAGTAGCACATTTTGTTTTCCACATTTTGTTTTTTTCTCTTGAAATATTATCGAAAATACAGTTCAAAGTTACATTTCACATGTATTTCCTTCTTTATTATATGTGATTGATGTAATTAATGTATCAGCTGACACCATTGTTTAACTTGGCGGCGAGGCTGCATCCATGGAGTGGAAATATCGTACATAATACCACTACCACAGTTTTGTGCTACTGTAGTCCTACTCACTTGTGCACGTAGAGAGCTGTGGACGCTGCACACGTACAGTTGATATTACACTACTTCCTATGCTACTTTATAGCCTGCTTAGAGTCCACATAGAGGACTTTATGACATTCATTGCAGTAGATCATCTATTTACTGCCAAGCGTGCACACTATTGCCCTTGTGTCGTCTCTACAGACACAACATTTTGGCTGCACATCCACAATCCGTGCAGACTGATTTAGGCAGATGACAAAGTTTACACTGAACCAACCTGGGATCATGACAAGACGTGTGTGTGTGTGACACATTTTTTACAGCGGCGGGGGATGACTCCCACATCCTGGCCTTTACTCTAACCTTAATCATTTCACATTTTGTTTTTCACCATCAAATGACACATAGAAAACCTAAATGGAGTAGAATGACACATGAAATGTGCCTGAAGTGGATCGCTATTTATACACAATCTCGTTATTACTTACACTTACAAAATAATGGACACTCACAAGTTGACCACTGGCACTGACACTTCTACATAAACACATTTTCAGGGGCTTCTTGTTACTACGCTATAGTTATCTGACATTAGTTACTTTTTATATTGTGATTTAACATAAAAACCTAAAATGAACTTCTGAAATAGGGAGTGCTGATTATCTTCTCATTTAATCAATGAACTGTTCAGTCTAAACAATCTTGAG